ACGCATACACTCTCTCTCTCTCTCTCTCTCTCTCTCTCTCTCTCTCCAGACACACACACACACACTTTCTTCCTTTCCCCCGGCTCTCCTTCGCTTTTTTTTTCCGGTTCAGTCAAAACTAACCTCCTCCTACAGAAAATGTTACTGTCAATTTTGGTTCTTCCAGGTTTTTTTAGAAACGTTTGCAGTAAAACTCTCTCGCACAGAGCACGGTAGCTTCTCGATCCCAATTTCCTGCCTTTCCCGCTCTTCATCCTCTGCGTTTTTCTTCTCTTGCTACGGTGAATTTCTATTTGATCTTGTTATTATCGGATTCTTACTGGACTCGATTATACTTTCCTACTACAAGGTCTCAAGCTTCCCCATCTTCCTATTATCACAACGCCTACTTCATCTACTTGCCTCCATTCTACTTCATTCAGCTCTCCCGCCATGAGACTTCTCGTGTCAACCACTTCATATTCCCCCACTACTCCGCTAACCTCTCTCTTTCTTACAAGCATAGGGCCTGGCCACACCACTGTCGAAACGAAAAAAGTTAGTGCGCATCTTCCCGCAGAAAATGGCAACATGCATCCATTACTATGAATAGCAACGGATGCATCTTACCACTTCCTGCGGAAGATGCATTCGTTTTTTGTTCGTTTCGACAGTTGGTGTGGTGAGGCCCATAGACCCTAGCAAACGGTTGTCTCTCCGACAATTCCTCTTCGCCGCCGCCGCCTCCTCATTCCTGTCTTTCATCGACCACTTTTCTCTCGACAGGTCTGTAAAATATCCCTTATATATATATACTCCGACGAAACAGTTTGTCACAGCCCCTCGTTTGTTGTCCTCTTCTCTCTCTCTGCCTACGGTTTTACCGGGCAGTTCTGTTTGTGACGATATATATATATATGACTTGGTCTTCATTCCTGATGAGGTGTCGGAAGGAAGAAGTGTGATTTGCGTATCCAGTGGGCGAACTGAGGCCTCGCCACAACAATGACAAAACGAAAAAAGTACGAGTGCATCTTGAGCGCATCCTCCCGCAGAGAATGGCAAGATGCAATCCGTTGCAATGAATAGCAACGGATGAATCTTATCACTTTCTGGGGAAGATGCATTTGTTCTTTTCTCGTTTCGACAGTGGTGTTGAGAGGCCCTTGATAATGAATAGTCCCGCTTGCATTCATGATGCGAGGTTTAACAATCGATTCTTTTGTTCCAAACGAAATACCGCTGCAATGATTATGCGTATTTGAAACAGTACCGAGAGATGGATGGGACACTATACGGGGCAAATCCGGAAAGTAAGGACAGAAAGAGGAAAGAAGAAATAAGCTTACAAAAAATTAATCAGGAAAGTGCGATTCTCAATACCACACCCTACACTCGTCTTATCGTTTCTGCCTCTCTCTCTCTCTCTCTCTCTCTCTCTCTCTCTCTCTCTCTCTCTCTCTCTCTCTCTCTCTCTC